AGGGGTAGCGTCGATCTGTAGCGGGAGGTGAAGGGGGTGGGTGGGTGGGTGGGGGTCGACCAGAAGGGAACCGGGTCTGATAAGGGCGAAAGTTGAGTGAGGTTTTCCCCCTCGCCTCTCTCTCCGCCTCCCTTTGTCAAGCGGCGTCTCTGGCTGCTGCCTTCCCAGTCGCCGAGAAAGGGGGGAAAAAGAGCCGTGAGCGAATTCCCCTTTCTGCCATGTTGCTGAAAGCTTTTTTTTTTAAACGACCGCTCGTTCAGAACTCCTCGGGGCTTGTTTGCACGAGCTTGTGGCAGATCAGTAAATAAAGGGGTGGGGGAGCCAAACCGTCCAAGGCGTTTGCACCCTGAATGTGTGGACGCTGCTTTCATGATTTGCCACCACCACCCCCTCTCTTCCCGCCCTGCTCTAGCAATGCGCTGCTGCTTCTGCTGCTGGCTGAACTGAGCTGCGGCGCCGAGCCGGTCCCCACGTCTCCTGGTTGCCCGGCCATGCTCCGCCCCCAGCCGCCCTCCGCGCCACGCCGGAGCCTCCCCCGCGCCACTCGGCCCGCCTCCCTCGCCGTCGGAGGGCATCTGTGTGTGTCTCCAGACCTTACTGGACTACCATCCCCAGCAGCCCTAAAAAGCACTGTGGAAGAGTGGGAATGCTGGGAGTTGCAGTTCATCACCATCTGGAAAAACATGACTCTCCAAAGATCCATCCTTCCTTCCTTCCTTCCTTCCATCCATCCATCTCCTTCCCTTCCCCTTCAATCTCTCCTTGCTTGCTTGCTTCATTCCTTCCTTGCTTGCTTCCTTCTTTCCTTCCTTCCTTTCCCCCTCAATCTCCTTCCTTCTCCATCTCCTTCCTTTCCCTTTCAATCTTCCTTCCTTCCTTCCATCTCCATCTCCATCCCTTTCCCTTCAATCTCTCTCTCCTTCCTTCCTTCCTTCCTTCCTTCCTTCCTTCCTTCCCCCTTCAATCTCCTTCCTTCTCCATCTCCTTTCTTTCCCCTTCAATCTTCCTTCCTTCCATCTCCATCTCCATCCCTTCCCCTTCAATCTCTCTCTCCTTCCTTCCTTCCTTCCTTNATCTCCATTCCTTCCCCTTCAATCTCTCTCTCCTTCCTTCCTTCCTTCCTTCCTTCCTTCCTTCCTTCCTTCCTTCCTTCCTTCCTTCCTTCCTTCCTTCCTTCCTTCCCCTTCAATCTCCTTCCTTCTCCATCTTTTTCCTTTCCCCTTCAATCTTCCTTCCTTCCATCTCCATCCCTTCCACTTCAATCTCTTTCTCCTTCTTTCCTTCCTTTCCCCTTCAATCTCCTTCCTTCTCCATCTCCTTCCTTTCCCCTTCAATCTTCCTTCCTTCCTTCCCCTTCCCTCCCTCCAACATTTTTGAGCAAGGAAGAGTAAGCTTCTCCAGCGAGCATTGCTATATTGTTTTTGTGATTAATCACTATACTTTAATTATGTTCAATTCGTAACAATGAAAATACACCCTGCATATCAGATATTTACATTACTGTTCATAACAGTAGCAAAATTACAGTTATGAAGTAGCAACGAAAATAATTTTATGGTTGGGGGTCACCACAACATGAGGAACTGTATTAAAGGGTCGCGGCATTAGGAAGGTTGAGAACCACTGCCCTAAAGAGTTACACTATTACAAAGTTAAACTTCCCACCCCAGTACTATGCAATCATCCACGTTCCCCAATAGAATAAGTTGGTGGGCTTTCTAACAAAACGCCCAACCCTCTAACATAACCGATAGAATGACCTTGGTTCCCATGGGACACTTAATTGTTTAGTCTAGCAAAATCCTCTGCACCCCCTCCCATTCATGTGGCAACCTAGAATGAGCAAGATGGCTTCAGCCAGGTTCATTGTAGAGTTGACACCAGGCTTTTCTGATTAGCCAATTGCCCAGGAGTTAGATTGTATTTCACATTCTGGTTGTCTATAAAAAGAGTAACATACAAGTCTTGCTGATAATATTGTGACCAGGAGTGGATCTAAAGAGGGATGCTGGCATTGCTGTCTGCTTCCTTTTCTGTTTTAATAATGAAGAGTAACTGATAAACTTTTGGGTAAATAAGACAAACATTGGCTCCCAGAAAATTGTTGAAAACATTGGCTCCCAGAAAATTGTTGAAATAATTTCTCAAAAATATTAAATGCATGGAACAGATAAATATATATTTCTAGCTGTCTTCTGGAGAGATCTACATTAGAAACAAAATAAATACATCGTAACTGAGAAACATGTACATATTTTGAGTCTTTCATCCTTATCGATCTTTCATCCATAATGAAACTATTTTAGATATTCTAGTGGAAATTGGTGGCAGTCAGTAGCTCTGTTTTCATGAAAGGAGAGAATGAACACAAATATTATAGAACAATGAAGTGAGAGACTCCATTTTTTAGCTGTATACATTCACTCAATGTCTGTCTAATTTCTACATAGATGAGGCTCAGTCCATATGGCCAGGAACTATGAAAAACAGATTTCTAAATTGAAGAAACATGATAGTGAAGTTGAAGCTGAGTATGAAAAATAATTTGGCTTGTTTGATTTTGGTGTATTGGGCCAGGAAGCTGCTATGATTTATAAAAGTTAATGGTTTAGTGTGACTATATTTTTTCTGATATTCATTGAATACCCTTGGCTTGGTTATTATCTCACAGACATGATGTGATACACACACACACACAACATTGAAATTTAAAATGGAGTAAAGTTGATTGCCACATACTTTGGGAAAGGTTGAGAAGATACAGTTGTTATACTTTCAAGAGATATATGTTGGGAAAACATTCATACTGGCACAGGTGTGCATTCAGCAGCTGTTAGACTTCTGTTTCACACCACTCTAGTCTATGGTGTGGATTCTATGTTCCTTTCAGCCATTCCCATCCTCATGATATTTCCTTTCTTCTCTTTTAGAAACATCAGTTCTTCTTAGCTAATGTTCAGGCGTAGGCTCTTCTGAGTTGGAAACTGATCTAACAGACCCAGAATTTAATTTTCTAGACTCAGGAATGACTCAGTGGAATATTGAGAAAATTGAAAGCACAAAAAACTTGCTTCCTTTTCCCTCTGCTGTGATCAGCAACCTCAAAGAAGTAGCAGGGTGTCTCCAACCATTGACCTTGGACTTAGAAAGAACCTTGGTGTTTGACCTGTATTTCATTGACCCTTTTAGGCCCACTGAAGGTATTTGCCTTTAAATGTGATTAAAATTATTTTAATTCATGAGCAAAGTAAATTTGCATTTTGTTCTTTTTCCCTCCTCCCTATATAAAACTACTTAATTTGTATGAGGTTTTCTGTACCTTTGTTGACATTCCTACCTACTATCTTATCTCTTCAGAAAGAGATGTCAAATTTTCATGTCTAAAATTCAGTTGTAATGTTCAGACAGATCCTTTTCTTATAATTCCTGAATCAGTCCTTAGGTGATTTCAGCATGAACTATTTCAGTTGGAGAATGCATGTATATTATTTTATTGAAATTTAGCTATTTCATTTCAGCACCATTTCAGGTTTTATAGCACTAAAAATAGTGGGCTGAACTTCCCCCCATGCTAGGGCCCTAGCAGCCTAGCTGATATGCAGAATGATCATAACGCAATTATGCTGGCAGGTGATGATGGGAGCCCTAATACATAATATATGTAGAAGATGATGAGTTGGGGAAAACTATAGTGTTTTCTAAGTGTTGTGAAGGATTATGTATTTGAGGCAGGTGCAATATTAGGCCAAAACGACCACATGCAGATTAAAAAGTGCCTCCCCCCCTTCCAATAACCACTAAAGTAAAATGTTTAGATGTGATGGGGAGAATTTCACAGGGGGTAATCATATTTGCTGTAATTGTCTACAGCAAAATAACTACCTTATCAAGGTCCTGCATACTTTCTGGAGTGTAAACCCATACCACATTATTTAAAGGTCAAGTGGAGATTTCAGTAAAAAAAAAAAAAGTATGCTTCCCTTGAACTAGTAGAACAAGCTGAAGGAATGATAACATAATTATGAATTCTAGAATACTTTCAATGCTAACTGAATTGCTTCCCCCCCCTTAATGATTGCATTGAAATCATGTTGTGTAGTCCATGGAGAACAATTGGGGTGGTAGACAAAGAGTCCTCTGCCTCACCTTTTTTCAGTGCTGCCATCTGTTTCACAAAGGCAGTGGTGTTTTCTTCTGGCAGAAGCAATGAAGTATTCTTTTCAACAGCTGGTTGTCATAACACCCCTTCCCAATTACCTATATCAAAGGAGAATTGAATGTTTAAAAGATGGTTGGTAACCATAATTCCTTCCCCTTAGTACTAACACCATAATGTTGTAACATACAATAGTATTAAACAGAGAGAGTTGGTGTTGGGAAATAATTGTCTTGAGTTGCCAAGAAGTGCATCTCTGTTTCAGCCAAGACCCCTTTTAAATTATATTAAATTAAATTTATATAATTTATGCACTGGCAATAACAAAAAAACCTGGAAAATGCATTATATCAAATTATAAAAAAGAACAATAACTGATGGCAAGTCCAGGTAACAGCACCCACGCCCCTAAACAAATCCAACAGGACACCATCCACCCTAACTCAAGGTATAGGACAGGGGTCTTCAAACTTGGCCCTTTTATGACTTGTGGAACTTCAACTCCCAGAATTCCTCAGCCAGCGTGACCCAGGCTTTGCAGAATGCCTTCAGGATGGGAGCTACATGGAAGTCAGGGGGAATCTCATTCCATAGTGCTGGTACCATGCCAGAGTGAGTGCACTTCTTCTTTTTTTTTTTTTTAGACCCTGCTTCTGAATTTTTCACTTTTTTCTTCCTCAATAACCAATGAATAAGCTGCTGAAACTGAGTGAATTATTTTCAGTTGTCTGATGGTAAATGGGGAAAAAGAGGAAGCACTGGGAATTTTACATATGAATAAGAACTGCAGCTTGAAAGTCTCTGAAGTAAGATTTTATTTAACACTAGCCCTTTTGTCCCCCAGGTGACTCGTGTGCCAGTGGAAAGCTGTGAGCAGTATGCAACATGTGCACTGTGCCTGGGTTCTAGAGATCCTCACTGTGGTTGGTGTGTCCTACATAACATGTAAGTATGCTGAATTGTCTCTTGGTTTGATTTGGCTTGGCTTGGTTTGGTTTGATTTGATGGTGTCTCCTGACTGTTATTCTCCATACTCCTTTATTTATATATAAAAACTCTGTTCCACTGTTGAAGCTTACTTTTGACATTTTGAATGCTTATAAATCTGTTACAGTAGTACCATTAATCTTTTATTTAGTAACAGGGTCATGTACAAAAAGGAATATGGGAGCTCAGGGTTGAGTTGAGGGGTCCTTCATGCTCTCTGAGCTTGGTTGTTTTCTTGTGGAAGTTTCATTACTCAGCTAGATAATATCATCAGTGTTAGCACAGTCCTAACACTGATGATGTTACCTAGTTGGGTAATGAAACACCTGCAAGAAAACAACTAAGCTCAGAGAGCACAAAGCATCCTCATATAATGTTAAGTTTAGAGACTGAAATAGTTTTTTGCTCATGTTATATTGATAAACAGTTTTTCTTTTGTTTACCTTATTTTAATCACTATGATTTGCATTTTTACTGTATTATCACTAATATAATTGTAATTGTTCATTTTCACCAATAAAACTAAAAATGTATTAATATTACATTCTGTAACACCTTACTATTATAGTTCCTACTATTGAGCGTATGTCAGTATGAAATACATGAGGCAGAACCCTTTGAAGAGTATAAATAAGAGAAAGTAGCAAAAGATGACCGTATTAGTTAAAGTTAAGTTAAATCAGAAAACAATTAGTTAAAATAATGTGTGCTAAGGTAAGAAGGACCCATCAAAGAAAGGCAAAATGGTAGAAGACATAGAGCTGAAAAATGACAGGAGGCCTTGATAAGAGGTGAGTTTGGAGTAGTCACAATGCTGCTATGAGATCTAATTACTCAAAAACAAGAGACTATTGAACATGAAGTGATGAAGAAACAGCCAGAGAAGGAATTCATTTCTAGATCTGTTTATGGGCTTTTGGTGGCACTTGGTTAACGTCTATAAAAAATAAAAAGCAGGAAGCTGTGGAGTTTTGCTGTCTAATGGAACTCGGGAAAAATGCTATTTTTTAGTGCAGCACTGCTCTCTTCGTGTTTATATAATACTGAGTTTATGGAGTTATTATAAGATTGCAATAATAATATTGAAATGCTGTGCATACTCATAAAAGTGCTATAACTAAGATAAGGATAAGGATGCCGTTATCATTTGATTTTGTAATGTTTGGAAAATTACTTGTTTTGCTTGAGTGAATAGGCCTGTCATGTATATTCAACCTTGATTCTCCTATGGTAGGACACCGCAGCAAATTTTCACAGGGGTTAAAAATTCTGCCCATTGTAGTTGTCAGGAACCCCTTATCCTTCTGATTTGCATGAATGTGGAAACCAGCACAGTGGGGAATAGAGCAAAGAATTGCTGGTAGGCTTCACCTGTTTATTTCAAGCTGAGAGAAGTAAACCTCAATGTCTGGTATGTATACTTAGTCTCCTCTTGCCTCTGTGGTAAATGCTTTATGCTATAAAGCTGATTGATGGCAGCCAGCTCTGAGTTGCCAGTTGTCTACTGCATTGGCAGCTTCTGATGTGTGGGTAGTAAGGACTAAATTTTATACTTACTATCTTGAAACACAGCAGGAGTCACCCTCATTCCAGCATAGATTGACACAGACTATGCATTTCCCCAAAATAGTTTGCTGTCCTGAGACCAGTTGTCCATGGTTTATTTATTTAGCGAGGATGTGCAGCAACTTAACAGTGATACATACACACACACACGTACATCCCTATGCATATATAATGAGTTTAGACATTGAATTACTTGTAGTAATGGGAAATGGGAGGGTGGTGGGAGTAATGGCATTAATGTAGCACATTTAGTTCTTTCTGCTTGAAAATATTTTATTTCGTCTATAGTTTAAAGAAATTTTCCTAACGACTTTATGAATGCAATTTGATTGCTCAGCATGAAATGTCAATGCTTGTAGCTATCAAATGTTTCCAGTTATATTGGTTGATGCATCAAATGCAGGCACCACAATGCTTCTTGTTTGCCATACTGGAAAAGTTAAGATTCTTCAATTGAAAGTGGCTTGAACCGGGTCAGTGCTGAGATGCCAATCCAGGAACATTTGGCAACAGGGAATATTCTTGGGAATCAGCTCTAGCCCTGTTTTAGCTGCAGAGGAATAGTATGAAGAAGGCATAATTTTTTAGACTCATTAATCTGATTTTTTTGAAGATCATGTGCCTCTGCTGCTACTGATCAAAACTACCTTACAATTCAATGTCTTTAACTCAGGAATTGGGCCTCTCATATAGGGTTACTAATGAAAGCATAAGAGAGTAGGGGCAAAACAATAATTGAAAGACATTAAAAGGGTGATTTTCTTTGGGCTTGAGGGGGGAAAGTTGTTAGAAGTTACAGAGTCCTGACTGTTTAGCCATGTGGAGCATTTTAATTAAAATTCAAAGACATCTCTTTCCCTGAAGCATCCCAAGGATATAGGTGGAATGTTGTAGTGGCTCAGAAACTCCATTGTGCAGTGTCATGCTGGCACTTGCTAGGGAGATAAATCATTGAGATTACTAAGACCTTGAAAGGTGCATGTGTATCTGCTTATACTGTATTGCCCTCTGTTTAATTAAATGCGTTCTATAATGAAATAATGTTATCACAAATGCAGGGAGGAGAAGTTGAAGAAACCCATTTAAACTTATTAATGGAGGCAGAATACCTGGATAGAACAGTGCTATGGGGGCAGCGGAGTGGCTGCCTTTGATGAAATAGATGGAATATTTGCAGCTGCTTATTTGAATTGCTTGGAGTTGCTTAATCGAGAGCATAAATGAGTGTGATGAACTGTTAGGCTCAAAGGAAATTGAAGCAGGACTCCAGCTCCATTAAAGCCACAATACATGAGATGGGAAGAGCATAGAATTGATTAGGGTAGGATATTAAAGGATGAGCCCTACAGAAATTTTAAAAAGGATCTAAAAATGCCCAGGTATAAAGTTGCATCATCAGTGTCATACAGATAGTGAGAACTGAATCACAAAATTCCCAGCTTGAATTTTGATTCTGCCATGAACTTGCTGATCTTTACAAAACTACTATATGATAAGTCACAGAACAGGACAGAGTCTCAATGTTACTCTTTCTTATTCTTACCTACTAGGTAAGAACTTAACTAGTAAGTTACTCTTATTGTTGACTTCTTTCACTTGTGTAGCGAAGAAAGCAGTTTTGGCTGTCATATTTTAAGGAGAATGTTAATGATCTAAGATATGTCTGGAGGATTATGATGAATATGTTGAAAGATTGTAAGCATTGCATATGCTTATTCTTTTTAATACATATTTAATTTTCTAATTTTACAATCATGAGTACTTAATAAACAACATCTTGTCTGGATCCATTGATAATTCAGTGGTACATATTAACTTTCTCAGTCTAGTTCCAATACTACACTATCCAGTGCTTTCTTGATCCTATCTTCTTCCAGTGGTATGCAGTTTTCCACACTGGGAAAATACAATTCTTGTTACTGTTAATACAAATACAATTACAAATACAAAATCTTCATCACATTTTTCTGGTATTATACATAATATCGATAGTGTCAGTTTATAATATCTTTTCTAGCCAGAACATATCTCAATTGCATTTGCACTTAAAATCCATTTGTTCAATCAATATCCTGTTCAATCAATATTAAAATTTTAATTCTCCATCAATGTTCAAAATATCTCTATCAATTTTCTCAATATATTATATTTGGGTAACCAAAAGCTTCTCATATTTAAACCCTTTTAGAATTTTCATATTTCCCATCTCATAACAAAGTATAATATTCTAGTTACAAATCCTATCCTTCTGATTATAATACTTCTAACAGTTATCTATTTTCTTAACCATATTAAACATTTGTTTAATAGCATAATATCCCATCTAATAGGTCATAACCCTGTATTTTCTTCAGTCTTGCTCTAGCTTTCTTCCTTTGCCAAATAACTTTCCAAGTCAGTACATTTGAATCCTCAAGTAATTTTTCCTCTGCTTTTGTATATATTGTTTGGAATGAGGAAGACAATTTGATTGAAATATTTTTGGAAGAACGCTCAACCCATTTATATTCATTAAACATTCTTCTCCTTCAGTTTTTCTTTTCATTTCTTGTTTGTCAATATTCAGCATTTCTCCTAACAGCTTTATCATCCGTTCGATCAGCTCTTCTTCCTTATCCTCAAATGTGTTGAGATATCTTTTCCATTTCTGGTGTTATCACTGCATCTTCTAATTTTTCATTTGTCTATATCTATCTGTTAATTCCTTCCTTTAGGTCCTCCATCTTTGGATCCGTTTCTTCTAATTTTCCTATTGTTTTCTGGGTTACTAGTTCCCTCTTTGTAGTCATTGTCTGGATTTGTAACTTTAGGTTAGAAAATTGTTCTTTTATCTCATTGGCATTATTTTTAGTCTCATCCTGAAATCAATCTTGGATTGATTTCAGCATAGAAAGAATTTATTTCTGAGATTCATTAACATATTTTTTGTTGGTATATCAAGCTGGGAGCTTCGGAGACAAGTGTTAAAGATGGTTTTTTACATTTGAGGCTAGGTATGAAAACCCATTTTGTTTTTGTATGTAGTCTTTATAGTCCAATAGGGTCCCCAACACAGATAGGCAGCCCAAGAGGTTTTTTTTTCCCTTTTCCCAGCTGCAGTCTGAAAAAGTGAAGGTTTCCAGGAACAACAAAGATCTAAGTCCAGGCTTCAAGCCAAGTTTCCTTTAAGCATAATAAATTGTACTTTTGTGATTCGCCACTAGATGTCGTTGACACCATCTTCCAGCTTTCCAAATCCAAGCCTATTTTACAGATTTTCAACTAACTTCTCTAAAAAAAGTCTCAAAGGTACTTGTAGTCCCAAATTTCAAAGCTATATATCTGTATTAATTCCAAATTGATCTTGTAGTTTTCTCTATTTTTCCCCAAAGCAATTAATTTGCTGCTTTTCTTTTCCTGAGGGAACGGGGCAAAACCTTCCCCCCTCTCTCTCTCTCCTTGGAGAGGATTCTTTGCTTTGAGCATTTTTTCCCCAGGAGAGTTGTATTAAGGTCATAAAAAGAGGATAAAGTCTCACCCAGTTCCATCCACATTGCTCAAAAATTGCTAGTTAGTCCTTATCTTCAGTTGTCAGCAGCTTCTGACTGTCCACACGAATGTAGCTAGTCTTTCCCCTGCCAGTTTGGAGGGCTTCCTCGGATCCAGCAGAAGGGCTGCCGCCCCTCTGCAGTCGATGAGGGTTCCCTCCCTCATTGCCTCTCTGGGGTGACTTTCAACCCTTTTTAGGGTCCCCAGCAGGGCAAAATCGAACATGGAAGATGGAGCCCCGTCTTCCTGTGTCCGTTACACCGCGACACCTAACTGGAAGTCAGCATTGCATATCCTTATTCTGAGAAGACATAATTCAGGGTATCATGGTATCCATCTTTGCATGTTTGAAAAGCTGTTACAAAGATGAAGGAGCTTGTTGTTTATAATATCCAGACCAACTAGTTCAAATTACAAGACATTTTGTAACTTTAGAAATGTTCTCTTAGCTTTTAGATAACCAATAGGTTTGAAAGTGGAATGAATTATCTTTCCTTCTTTTTTAAAAAAATAAAGGTCTGATAAGCTAATATAGTTCTAAAGGATTTCTTCCATCATTATCATATTGGATGAAATACACATTGAAACTATTTCCTATTCTATGACTTATCATGTAGTGGTTTTGTAAAGATCAAGTGCAAAAGCATGTGAAACTCACTGCACTCTTGCAAGCATTTGTACAAACACTGAATATTAAGAAGCTGTTCAGCACAGTAAGTATTTGTTAGATTATTGTGTTACATCATTAATAATCCATACACAATTGCAGATGAAATTAAAATCCCATCATAAAGATAGTGATTTAAACTTTAAGGAGTAATAACATCTAGGTTGGGAAAAAATGAAATTTAATTAAGCAAGCAAACCAAAACAGAAGAATAAGACTTGTTCTCACAATTCACATTTTATTGCGGTAAAACATAAATTTTAATAACCTTCTAAGAATAGACTTTTGTACTATCATTAAGGCTTCCTCTGAGAAAATATAACACTGTTTGTAAAATGTTTCATTTACTCCTTTCTCATTAAGATTAATTTTAATGTTAGTAAAATAATGCATAAAATCCATCATTGCATGCCATCGTGACCTAGGCACTAGTTTACTTACAAATATGGATGTGGGTTCAAGAGCAAAATATAATATACAAAAATAACTTGAATTACCAAAGAAATATTTCAGTGACTATTTGAATGAAAAGTTTCAGTACTTATTGTGAAGCATGTTTTCAATTGATAATATTTATGGTTTCTTTTATTATTTGTGTAATGTAGGAATAGCATTAAGGGCTTTCTCCTTTATTTAAGCAACTTTTATTCCATTTCAATTGTAACTGACAAAGCAGTTATGAAAGGTGGATTAGAATTTAAATAAAACTAAAATGAACTAGCAAATGAAAATAAAATAGGTCTTTGCATGCCGTTAGTCATCAATGTAGCAACATAATGAGAACATTGTTAGTTGTAGCTAAAGATTACCACAGTCTAATAGATACTGTTTTTTGCTGTTTCACAGCTGTTCTCGGAAGGAGCGTTGTGATCGAGCCGATGAACATCGGCGTTTTGCCTCAGATCTGCACCAGTGTGTTCAACTTACCGTTCAGCCTAAGAATATATCAGTCACCATGTCAGAAGTCCCGGTGGGTCATTTTACTTTAAATTCCATATAGTCTTGTTAACTATGTCAGTATATTTTTTTAGGATGGTGAAGTATGAAGGTTTTATTGTAGACCCCCTTTTTTAAAACAACAACAACAAATAGATCACTGATTATTTTTTTTCTCTGTATGTCATTCTGTCAGCTGGTTTTGCAAGCCTGGAATGTTCCTGATCTCCTGGCTGGTGTGAATTGTTCCTTTGAAGATTTCACTGAATCTGAAAGCCGCATTGAAGACGGCAGAATCTACTGTAGTTCTCCATCTACAAAAGATGTCATACCTATTACCAGAGGACAAGGTGAGTTAATATCACCTCATCATCCTGCAGCAGTTAAATATAGAATAAACTCAATGTACTTAAGAGAACTGAGTTTTTTAACAAATATTTAAGTAATACAAACGTTGAGCCAGTCTATGTAGTTTATTGTTAGGATGGAAACATAGAATATATTATGTAATCTGTTTTAAAATGCTTAAAATTGTGTCTTCTGTTTTTACAGTGTTTTTGTAAATATCTGTAGATATTTATAATCTCGCCGTTTTGAACCTGGGTGCATTTTCACATATTTATACAAAGTATGTTA